ATTACTTTTAAAATTAAAAAAACAAGTATAAAGATTTGTTTAAACACTTTTTTCTTTAGTGTGTGCGTCATTTTTTATCGTCAAATTATCACAATTTGACAGTTTTTGACAGACTTAACCTAACCGGTATTGATCTAGATCTTCCTCTGAGGCCAATGTTTTATGTCAAATACAGCTTTAAAAATTGTTATACGTGGTTCTAAACCAGTTTAGAAACACTTCCATCAACACCTTCATTGGTATAATAATGGCACCAAATTGGTGTTCATAGCAATTCAGTATCATCTCAGACAATCTGAATCATTGATAGAGCGGTGCACATAAGTGCAAGATGCACAAGGAGGGTCTATATGTTGCCAAAAAGCATCTGTTGAAAGCACTTGGCTGCAAAATCTCCAGACCTTAAGGAGGCTCTCTACAACGTCACAACATGGCGTACTTCCGTTGAAACGCCATTTTGATCCCAAAAGATCGAATTCAAATTCACTTAACACCGATAAATTACTGGAATACCGAGTATAACACAACATGCGATATTGTGGATGGAACGTACAACTGCACGTAGTTAGTCTATTTAATAACCTGGAGGTAGAGAAGAAGATTTTGAAAGAAATAATGCATTTCCACTCTATACTTATTTAGCCCCACCCTAGCACTAGAACCTCTGACCCCAGGGTCATGAATTTCACAATTTAGGTAGAGGACTCAATCTTGATTACAATCATGGAAACAGCTTTATTGCTTGATGTCCAGGAGTAAAGAAGAAGATTTTTAAAGATTGCATTAATTTTAGTGGTTTGGCCCCATCCCTCAGGCCCCAGGGGGACAGGGATAATTAAATTTATAATTTTGTTCCCCTTCAGCCATAGATGTTTTGTGCCAAATTTGGTTGATATTGGTTCAGTGGTTGCAGAGAAGTAGATGAAAATGTTCAAATGTTAACGCACAACTCACGACGACGGACGAAAACGGATAGCAATAGATCACCTGAGTTAACTGAGGTGACCTAAAAATCAAACAACGTTGCATATGTCCTGAAAGTCCATGACACATGAAGTACGCTAGAAGAATACCACAACTCTATTACAGCTATGACCAGCAGATGTCTTCGTGACTCAAAAAATGCGCACAAACTATTTCAACTCAAACATTGCTACTGATGTCAATTCTCAAATATTGATAAATGACAGGTCAATGCATTGTGTCCACGTTGTTGACTTGTATGGTAACTTTAACTGTGACAAAAAACAATAATGTTCAGGAGGAATGAGTATTAACACTAATCGTAATCTTGTTATTGGAAATGATAATACTGGAAAAATCCAAATTATCAAATAACTAGGGTGATTCCCGTGATGGACATTATGAGAGATAAAAAAGAAGAAAAAAACATCTCATTGAGCTCTTTGTTGCATAATGATTCCCTTGCCCATTTTACAATTTAGAAAAAGTGTAATATTAAAAAACACCTTGATAGAATTCATTATCAATTTAAAGAAATAACACAAAACTAGTGAAAGGGATCCCAAGTGTAAAATAAACAATGTCCTTTGTACTATGTACTATGAATAATAATTTTCCTTGCACCTTTCAAAGTTCCATGAATGTCCATGACCTAATTATTAAGAGTGTATATGCATGAAGTTACTTTCCCTCACTGCAGCTTCATGACATACTAATTCCAATAAACGACGATATTAAGGAAGTGTCATCAGTTACCATGTTTGACACTATTGTACAAGCAATAAGAGATCAACAAGGAAAAAAAAATATGCAAGGTTGTGCTTGATATAGGAAATCAGCTGGTTACTGAAATTAATAATAATATATATAATATATATAATCCTCAGGAAATGCGTGAATTAAAATTTTGCAAGCACGCTGTCTCAAGTAATTACGTAAAAATAAAGCGAAGAAAACATGCTTTACAGTGTTCTAAAGTAGAAACTGCTTACTATATCTAATACACATCGCTGCCATTTGCATATGTGTAAGAATCATAATAGAGCCATATTTTGATGCATTATATAATCATACAAACAAATGACTCTATTTGTTACACACTGCCTATTTCTGACCTAATTATATTTCATCAAGTAATACATGTACTAAAGACAAAGAAATATTATTTCTTAAATATATAAATACCTCACATTTTCTTTAAGACTGGAACTGGGAAATAATTGGGGCTACTATAAATATGGAGATGGCTGCTTCTGCAAGCTTTACAGGTCCTCTTTACATAGTACTGTGAATGGAGGCATTTTATTTGCTGAAAAAAAATACACAAACTGAGCTTGTCAGTGTCAAAAAACCAAATGACCAAATGTGATGAAAACAATGCCTGACAAGTCTTAAATCAAACTTTCTAGTTAACCCTTAAAATGAATGTTGTTTTAATAGCAATCACAAATTTTAAAATTTCCAAGGTAATTAATAGATTCATAAGAAATTTTCCTTCCTTATTCAATAGACTCTGGATTTTCATCAGAGTCTATTGTTTTTTGAATCTGAGGTCCATCATGGAGTCGTCATGAATTGTCTCCCTTGTGGTCTCCTGACTGAGTACACACAGACATGACGCCGCCTCAAACATGTTCAGCTGCTCCCTCAAGTCTTTTACCTCCCCCTGTAACAGAACATAATTTAATTAGCATTAACAAAGAAGATATCGTAAATCACCATTTATTAACAAGAAGTTAATTTTCAAGTAATTACACAAGCAAGTGTTCTCAGGAAAATATTATCCTCGCATATATAAGAATTCCTAAGGATTACATAGAGCAGTAACAACAATTTGTGAAAATATTGTGAAAATAAGGTCTCGCGAAAATTTAGTGTTCTACAATAGTAATACCCATTCTTATGCAATTTATGAATTTTGTTTGATGCTTATGTCTTATTTTGTTGCATAATATATGAAATATGACATCAGTGCATTAAAAAGTATCTTACAAAATTAAACGATTGAAAAACATTTTATTACACTGAGTCCTGTTTAAGTAATTTAAAGGTACTTGGACACAGATTTGAAGTTATTATTTTCTCTATAATATTACAACTTATATATTTTAATAGCATTTCACACAAAAATTAATTGAAAATCTTCTTTTGTTTAAAAGATATTGAAATTTCAAATTTTTCGGCGGGTTTGATTGACATATCCTTGCACTCTCACAAATTTAATTTTATTCTTAATAGGAAAAGTGGCAATCTCGTTTTGTATAAATGAAAAATATAAATACAAATTCGAAAGCAAAACAAACACAATATATTGTCAGTCCGTGCAATTTTAAAAAAATCTGAATATAAACAATAACAGAACTCGAGCCCTGTTTACAAAAACTGTGTACATAACACGAGTGTGTCGATTTAATATTTATTTAAGGTGTTTTGCTTTCAAACATCAATAAAAGTATTTTTTAAAAAGTTTTAATATTTCTCATTTACAAAATTACTTTTCCAAGATTAAGAATTAAAAACAAGGATGTGAAAAACAAAAAATTTAAAGTTTTAATAACTTTTAAAAGAAATAAGATTCTTAATTAATTTTTGTGTGAAGTGCTATTAAAATATATAATTCGTGATATTCTACAGAAAAAATGAGAAAATATTAACTTCAAATCTGTGTCCAAGTACCTTTAAGACACTCAGTAGCTGTTTCAACAAAAATTGGTTGGATTAGACATCAATCTGCTTTAGACAACATTTGGCAAGCCTCGCCCTCTGACATGTTTTCTTACCCTCGCACAAATATCATTTATATTCAAGACAGAAACCATGTATTTTATATTTGTAATGCCTAATGGCAAATATTAAGCAGGTCTTTCAGTAAAATACTCTACTTTTAATATTTTTTAAATATTTTTTTTTGGGGGGAGAGGGTGTGTGTGTTAGGATATTAATAGAATTAAAAAAAAAATAGAATTCGAAATTGTTCACCAAACAAGGGGGGAGGGAAGGGAGGGGGTGGTTAAAAATGGATGGAGTTAATATTCATTGTAAAAGTCTTGATACTATTACCTGATAAGATAATATCATTTCATCAGCGATTTTCTTAGATGCTGTACATTGCTGAAGCTGAATCTTCAATTGGAAAATGTCGATTTTGAGCACTTTAAAGCAAATTATACAAATACTACAAGAGACATTTTGTTCAAACTATAATATTTGATGAGTAATACTATATCATACAATATATTTAAGAAACACAAAATTCTACAGGTCACATTTACTATAGGGTTATATCAAAATGCAAAAAAAATAAGCAAATTTTACTATTTTTATAGAGACATTTTATTACAAAATATGACGTATACTAATGGATACAATATATGAAAACATAATAAACGTCTTGTTACCAGAGGGAGATATCAAAATGCAAAAATCAAATTTCTATGTTTTAAATTTCAAGAACGTATGTTTATTACTTTTTCTTTAATAATATTTTTATTACCCCTTTCTTTAAGAGCTACAGATTATCATTACGTCAAAAACACACTGCAACGACCTCAACCTACCTATCAATTGAAAAATCGGTTAAAAATCAGTTATATCAATTTGGTATTACGTTTTTATACCTATAATTACTTAATTCTGTTTAATTTTAATAATTAAGCGAAAAAAGTTGCATTAAAACAGTAAATACGCTTCATTTTACTATGATGCGCGAAATATAGCGCAATGGAAACTATAGTCGGCCCCCTTAAATTTACAATATCACATACGTATTATATTCTTGATCATTTAGTAAATTTAATAGAAGAATCCAAGTGTTTATCAGATACTCTAAGCACTATCTACTTAACAAAAAAAGGTCCTTCTCAAATTAAATGCTTAATAATACACATATTTATACTCAGCATAATTTCAATCTGAACAGGTATATTTTTTAAAACTTTTCTTTTTTGTACATACCTGACTCTAGCAGCATCCTACATTGTTTCTGGGAATCTTCCAAGCTGCAGGTCAGACGATTGATTGTATCGGCTCGTGAGATCTGAGTTTTCGGCCTCTTTATAACTCTCGTTCAGTTTCTGTCTCAATGTTGAGTTCTCTGCATTCTGTGAGAAATTAATATTTGAATTCTATTTTTCTAGACTAGTTAGTGTAGGAGAATAGCCCAGAAACTAAAATGAATTGCACATGAAATCTGCCAGTGTGCTATTTAAAATCAACATAATTTTTTTTATAAATTATAAAAAAGCTGAGAGAAAAAAAAAAATCAGAATTTCTCAGGGTTTATGAATTATGCTCTTTATTCACTCATTTTTAAAATACTATAAAGGAACTTGAATTTAATATTTTATACATGTATCAAATTATTTTTTCCATTTCTGAGTTGTCACCCTTAACAAAGATATATAATTCTTTATTAATGAATTTTGGCAGAAGTAAAATAATTACCAGATCATTAAGTTTATCTGTGAGATCGTCTATCTTCTCTTTGAGAACTTTGACCTCCTTGTCATGTTTCTGATGGACTCCTGACAAAACTCACTCATGCTCAACTCGAGCTCTGTTGAGACTGTCTGATGCCCCCATCTCAGCAAGCTGTTGGTTCAAAGTCTCTATTGTGGACTCAGCAGTCTGCAGGCTTTTAACTGCCTGGAATAATATTATAATAATAAAAAAAAAAATAATTTATACTCAAAACAAAACTTATTTTCTATCAGTCCATTTGTATATATGTGTATAACATATGGATCTGAAAAAAAAATACTGATTTAAGGCTTACAGCTAATTTTAAAATCACAGGTATCATTACTACTTGAAGTGTTCTATATAAGGTTTAGTGATTTCTTAATGCCAATTTAAATGCCATTAATTCTATCAACTTTGAGCAAGATAATAATGCCTTCACCAGAGAATAAACCTATTATGCCTGCTATCTATGTAGTATTGTAGACATTGACATTTACACCCAGATCTTGATCAGGAGTTGGAAAAAAAACAAATTTGAAGATAATAGACAACAGACCATTTTTTAAAGGTCTGATTTTTGCATGATTAGCTAATGTTTCTCTGTCTAATATACAGCTGCACACAATGAAATGATGACCAAGTTTTAAGCTTTGAAAATTTAAATCACCTGACTACCCGACAACCCAAGGATACTGAGCTGTATATTGATCTAGAAAATTCATTACACAAGTTTAAAACGAAAGATAAAAAAATATTGAATTTTATAGAGAATTGACAGGAAATAGTGAGTATGTTATGTTATGGAGTCTTTTGATGTTTAATATCGATTAAATAATGTTGAACTGATAATGTAAAATTTTAAAAACTATTTCAATCATGTACAGCATTAAAAATATCTTTTTTAGGGGGGGGGGGTTAAATTTCTTAGTATAATAATTTGTTTTATTTGTGACTTTATATGACTGACTTGCTTATGGTTCTGCATGACAGAGTGTCTATGTTGTATGCATATGCATCAATCTGACAATTAAAAATTTTATGAAAGTCAATGATTGCATTATCGCTGTGTACTTCAACCCGTAGCTGCAGATCTGTAGCGTTATGGTTTTATGTACTTGTCTTTGACCATAATGCTACAGATCCTGTAATGCAAAAAAGGTGCAATTTATGGCACAATATTTTTTGCGCACTTTTGAGGATAATTTCTCCACTTTCTAGGCATTGGTCAATCAACTACCTTTCACTCCCTAGGTCTAGTCACATTCTGTAGCCTTTATGTACATTTTATCCATTTTATAGTCTGAAGTGAATTTTCCACAATCTAACAAATAATTTTAATCAAGTGAGTTTATCACTTTTAGAGACGCCTATCAAGGGTAAATAGATGGATAAAATATACAGATAAGTTAAATAATGTGCGTAGAATTAGGGAGTGAAAGTTAGTTAATTAACCAATGCTGGAAAGTGGAGAAATTCTCCCCAAAATTGCGCAAACAATTGAGCTGTAAATTGCACCTTTTTTACATTACAGAATCTGTAGCGTTATGGTAAAAGACAAAATATATTAAACCATAACGATACAGATCTGCAACTACTTCAACCAGGTAAATATGATTTTATTATTATCCTAGATCACATTAGATATGGCTACTGCCCAAGGACAGATTGTAATTCGCTGTCAGTTGTGCTCAAATCCTGTTGAACATCATTGCAATCTTTGTCATGTGAACCTCTGCCCTTCATGCATACCAGAACACATGGCTGACAAATCAAGAAGACATGAAGTTGTAGAGTACACTTTCAGAAAAGAACATTCAGTTATTCTTCCATCATGTCTTACACACGAGAAATACCATTGTGAGACGTATTGCAAAGACTGTAGAATACCAATCTGTCTTCAGTGCCTCATGGGTTCACATAAAAAGCATGAGTTTACTGATATCAATGCTATTCTTCAAGAGCATAAACAACAACTTATTTCCGACACAGAAGAATTAGAAAATACAATTGTTCCAAAATACAGAACCATCAATCTAAGTACATCTGCTGAGTTTGACAAAGTTCTCTCCGCCATAAAAGAACAAGAAGATAAAATCTGCCAAGCTGTACATAAAAAAAGCACTCAGCTCACAGAAGAAGTAAGCAGTCAAAAGAAAGAAGCTATTAGAAAGAACAAAGAAAGGCAGTCTTCAGCAGAAAAAGCTGAAAAAGAAGTCAATAGAATTGTTAAAGAAAATAAAGATATCCTTAAAGGAAATGATGCCACAGCCATACTTAATTATCAATCAAGGAATGAGGATTTCCAAAAAGGCCCACAATTACAAAGTTTTTCTTGTCCAAAGTTACTCCCTGGTATTATTAAAGAAAACCAAATTTTAGAAATGTTAGGGTTTCTTCAGAATAGGGATGAACTGCAGAAAAAGGCTGGAATGCTGAAAATGATGGATAAACCTGTAGTACTATACACAATAGAAAGTCCTTATGGACACCATCGTAATTTTTCTAAGAGACATCATGGTAAAAGTTATGAAGAATTTGATTTAACCGGTAAGCGTCAGCTGTGGAAAGTGCAGTGTGTTGGGAGAGATAAGATCATGACCAGTGGAGACGGCAAAACAATCCAGGAGATAGACAGGACAGGATCCATTATAAGAACAATTAATACAGATACTCATATCAGGGCATTATCAATTAATTTTCAACAGGAACCGGTGTTTGCTTCAGCTGAGACAAATGATCAAGATATACACATTTTTACTAATGGTGAAGTTAAGGTTTTGTTAAGCACACCTGACTGGTATTCTGTAGGACTTCATTATACAGTAAATGGAGATCTTCTAGTGAGTATGTGCATTAATGATTATAAAGAAAGTAAAGTGGTGAGATACTCAGGGACCAAGGAGATTCAGAAGATCCAGTATGACAGTCTGGGACAGCCTCTGTTTTCTACAGATAGATTAACTATGCTTCACCTTACAGAGAATGGCAATGGAGATATCTGTATTGCTGACCGTGCTGGGAAGGCAGTTGTTGTGGTGGATTCTTCTGGGGGATTAAGATTCAAGTATACAGGCAACCTCTCCAAACAAACAAAGTACAGAGAGTTTACACCATCAAAAATTGCTACTGATGTCAATACTCATATACTGATAAATGAGGACTCAAATAACATTGTCCATATTATTGACTGTGATGGAAACTTTGTCCGTTACATAGAACATCCATGTAATGGAGGACTCAGTATTGATGTAGATCACAATCTTGTTATTGGAGACTGTGATACTGGAAAAATTCAAGTTATCAAATATCTAGAGTGATGAACAGTATGAAAAATTACATTCAAGACAGTGTGTCACCATATTTCCTTTGAATGTGCACAGTTTTATGTGGTGACATGTGAAAAAAAGTCAAGTATGGAAAAACATGTCTAAGATTCATTACTAGTATGCAGCTATTCTAAGAGCTATAATTACCTCCAATGTGTATGTTAAAATACACCTTGATTTAATTCATTATCAATTAACAAAAAATATCAAATGTGATTATAATACATGTTCATGTTTAGAATGTACCACGGTTATGCCGCAGAAAATATTTTAAAATGCTACAGAATGAAATATGAACAAGAGGCCCATGAGCCACATCGCTCTCCTGAGCACTGTGGCTAGGAAAAAGTAGTAATTGAGTTTAAATCCAAAAGTAGTCCCAAGACCAATCATGGCTTTGCTATTCTTGAGAAGATGCTTTTCAAAGAATTTTCCTATATATGTCTATGAAAAACTTTGATTGGCCATTGTGGCCCCGCCCTATCCCTGGGGGTCATAATTTGAACAAATTTCAATCCTCACTACCAGAGGATGCTTCCATACAAATATGATCAATTATGCCTTTGTTATTCTTGAGAAGAAGATTTTTAAAGATTTTTCCTATATATTCCTATGTAAAACTTTGGTCGGCCATTGTGGCCCCGCCCTACCTCCGGGGGGTCATGATTTGAAAAAACTTGAATCCTCACTACCTGAGGATGCTTCAATACAAATATGATCAATTATGGCTTTGTTATTCTTGAGAAGAGGATTTTTAAGGAATTTTCCTATATATTTCTATGTAAAACACTTTGGTCGGCCATTGTGGCCCCGTCCTACCCCCGGGGGTCATGATTTGAACAAACTTGAATCTACACTACCTGAGGATATTTCTCAATAAGTTTCATCTTTCCTGGCACAGTGGTTCTTGAGAAGAAGATTTTTAAAACATACCACCAAATTTTCCTTAATTCCCAATTATCTCCCCTTGAATGGCCCTTCATTTGAACAAACTTGAATCCCCTTCAACAAAAGATGCTTTGTGGCAAGTTTGGTTGAAATTGGTCAAGCGGTTCTTGAGAAGAAGTCGAAAATGTGAAAAGTTTACAGACAGACGGACAGACGGACGGACAGACGGACGCCGGACAAAATGTAATAAGAAAAGCTCACTTGAGCCTTCGGCTCAGGTGAGCTAAAAAGCCGGAAGAGAAAATGGGTAAGGGCAATAAGAAGACCAAATATTGACAACTGCTGTTAACCAAGAAGAAAAGCCTACCAAGGTTTCACCATTCCTTCACTAACTACCTCCTCTTTCCCCCTTTGAAGGGCCTCTACCTGACTTTCTGTGGCCTGGAGTTTCCCCTTCAACTGGGCATTCTCTGTCTTGGCTTCCATCAGAAGATCCTGACATTGTTTGAGACTGGTGGAGGTTCCCTCCTTCTCACCTGGATAAGAGACACTCAGTTGATAACTTTCATATATGTGTCATTCATCCTGAAACACTTATTGAGTTAAATATGCATATGCAAGATTGACCATTGATTCCTACAGACCCTAAACCATGCTACTACACCTCAGAAACAAACTGAACCGTTCCGTGCAAGAAGCGTACCGTACCGTTCACAAAACAAAACGTACCTTGCAAGAAATGAAACGTTCCATTCACAAAGCGTACCATACCATTCACAAAAAGAACTGTTCGGTTCAAAAAGAGAAGTTCACAAAGCGTACTGTATCGTTCATAAAACAAACTGTTCTGTTCACAATGCATACCGTTCACAAAGCGTACCGAACCGTGCCGTTCAAGTGGAGTAGTAGCATGGTTTCTGTTCTGTAACAAAGGTCATATTAATTCATAAATTATAACAGTTTGTGTGATACTGGACTGTGCATGCAGTTTTTATGTCTTTTCAACTTGAGTTTATCAAAACATATAAAAAAAATCACTGCTTCAGGAGACAAAATGGTGGTGAATATTTTGATTTTGAATTATGTATTGTTTAATGTATATTTTGTTGACTATGCATTATAATCAGTTGGTTAATTATAGTATTTCCTGTACTGTATTGAGTGTGTGTTTAATAATCTCTTTTGCTTCTCTACAGAGTTAACTCTCTTGCAAATTCATTTTTGTCACAAATACATATTCATCTTGAGGAACTTTGTTGTACATAATAAATCAAAAAAATAATAAAATGAAAAATCAATAATTTGTCTTTTCCCTGTCCTGTAAATATAATGTTTTGGAACTATGAACTAGAGATAATTATTAAACAAGGGAATTTAATTTATGTATCTCCAACAAATATACAGTAAAACTCGTTTATTACGAACAGGGATATTGCGAATTCATGGATATAACAAGTCATCTTGGATCCCCAGCTATATAAATTTCATGAATTTCGTATGTGGTTTTAACGAATTATGGATATAGTGAAGTAATTTCATAGGTCCCAGTGACTTTGTTATAACTGAGTTTTGCTGCATCTTCAATACCATGGATATGTCAAGGTGATTCGGTAGTTTCAACCACATTTTTCTTCAAGTATTTAACCCACGATATTTCAAATCCATGGATATACCAAAGTTTTTTTTTTGTTGTTTTCACTGAGAATGAAATAAGGAGCTTTGATTGTACTGATTAAAAAAAAATTTTGCAAAACAAGAGTGAGAGAAAATTCAATAAATGTTTTCAATGCCTTCAGCCCGTTAAATATAGAGTCAATAGTTGTTCAGCATTTCAGATGTGATACACATACCTTTGGCCAGAGAGATTTGATGTTTATAAATCCTGATCTCCCTGCTTATCTCCTGCTTGTACTGTTCAAAGTCTCAAGTGATCTCCTCGAGTTTGCTGCCTCTGGCTTTATACAGGATCTAAAGCCGAGCAAACTGTCTGTTGTCAAAAGCTCCAGCTGGAAAATGTGTAAATAAAAACATATAGAAAATTACTGTTGAACTTATCTTATCCCTTTATTAATTTTCAATTTAAAGTGTTTCAATTCTGTCCTGATTTTATACATCCAGGAAAATATTCCCATGCAAGTTAAGTGAATTCAGCATTAAATATACCTGGTCCAGTATTTTCATGAACGTCTTCTAGTTTTTGTCTTTTCTCTTTGACCTCTGGCACTTCCTCTTCACTTTCACTTTCTTCCCGGTCTCCTCTACGTTTGTAAGTAACCTGGTATTCTCCTTTGAAATCCTTATCTGGAGTATTGTCATGAACAGGATATTCTTGTGAAGAATGAACAGGATGCCCTGTTGAGACTGGGGTAGCATGAACAGGGTGCCCATGTGAAACTGACGTAGAATTTCGCAGCACAGTTAAGGTTACAAATGGAAATATCGGCGATTTTTTAAGATAAAAAATACATACTTTATGCAGTTTAGAGGTCATCTATAAATTTCAATATTGCAAGGGCATAACCAAGTTAAAAATCATAGTTTATTTTATAATTCTTTTCAACACTATATGTAGTTTGTGAAAAGTGCTGCGAACCTGTATAGATTCCCTTTTTTAATTGGTAAAATTTAATTTGTTGGGCTGCAGGTTGAATATTTTGCTTGTGAACTATATTAAATATAGCTATAATTAATTTATTTGAAAGATTTCAAGGGTTCGGGGTTCGCAGCACTTTCCAAATATCTTAATGCTTTTTGAGTTTATGTGTAAAATTTTGACAAGATACTATGAAGGTATGCCCTTGCAATAAATCGATTTATTAGGGCCCTTCCATTACTTTTTCAATGAATCTGCATACAAATACACGAGGGTATCGCTTGTATGGAGAATGCACGTTCAGTTTATTAATAAAATACTAAAATAGACATCGCATCCAAGTTAACGGCTTTTTATTTTACTGCAAATAATATTTCATTTGAGAAAAAAGAAATTTTTCATTGTACAAAATGTTACTTGATCAGCCTCTCACTGTGTACAAACTGCGTCATTTTTGCGAGATGACGTCACATTGACAAGTGCATTGCGATCGATGCATCGTTTATATACTGTTGTGTGGGATTTAACAAACGACAAATCTGCATGTAATAGTAAGTTTGTATGTAGTACACAGCTATTCAGCTGTTTGAAATAGCAAATAATTTCATTTTGTGGTATTTTGAAGACCTTATATTATGTGTGACGTCATAGTAAACATTTCCCGTACAAATTAGGCCCCGCCTCCTTACTGTAGCCTTAACTGTGCTGCGTTGTGACAAAACCTTGATCTGACTGTAGAGTGTGTTGGTATCCTTGAGAATGGGGTGTGTCTGAGTATGGCTTGTATGGGTTATCTGCCCTTGGATGCTCATCTTCATCCTGTCTGTCACTGTAATAAAAATTCAAATGGAAGAAACTACATTAACAAATCATATTCAGTGTTTGCTAATACAGTGAAGACTGTCTATTCCAACATCTGTGCATGTTTGCATATGTTTTACTGTGACTTTAGACCTTTCTTTTCACTCTCCTTTCGTTATTTTTCCATGTCACTGTATAATCCAACATCCTGACTATCCTGACATAAAATTTGTCTCCTAGTGTATGTTGTATTAGGTAATACGGTACACTATTCATCAATTATTTGTGTTGCATTATATAAATGGTGCCTTTTTTGGAGGGTAACATTTGAAATTGGCACCCCAAGGAAAACCATTGTCAACCGACGCGTCAGCGGAGGTTAACGATGGTTTTCCGAGGGGTGTCAATTTCAAATGTTACCCTCCAAAACAGGCACCATTTATTTTATTATACTGAATATCTTATTGATTTAGGACGTCAGCAAAAAAAAAAAAAAAAAAAAAACCGTCGATCGTCTTTACGTTCATGTATAGAAAGCTTTCACACTCACCGGTTCACTTATTTCCTTATTGTTTGTTTGATACTCGAATTAAAGTCATTTATCGTATAAAGTTTCGTTATTTCTGGCTTGCAAGCATGTTTCCTACACTCGCAAGCATGTATCGTCTGTCGGTTGTTGTTTTCAAGTAAGCTAAATCGGACGCAAGCTTTTATTTGCGTCAAGTTAATTCCGTTTCTTTCAAACGCGCAACTGACGTTTTGAGAATTCTACGGTGAACCGTACGCGCATAATTTCCACGCATGTGACATTACCGTTGTGTTACCTGTTGTCACGTGTGTTGCTAAGGCTCAGGATAATCGAACGGATTGTTAACTGCGTCTAAACCAATCAGATTTTAGTATTTAACATGAAAGCATAATAATACTAATCATTACTTTATTGCAATGCAAAAGAATTGATAAAACCTAAATATTTACCTGTTATAGCCGATGTAGTGATGAAGATGATGATAATGGTAATGTCCAGGCAGACCCCCAACATCTGAATGTTCATCTGTCCCGCCCTCTGCTTCCTGTCTCTCTGGAATTTCCCCATACCTAAAATGATCCTCCGAAGTCACATGATGCGGTATGTATGTGTTGCCATGGTGAGAGGGGTCATAAACATTTGGCTGACCCTGATGTGAGAAGACATTTTGATTTGACCAATCAGGAACCTGGTGAAACTGATGGTGATGATGTTGTTGAGGTCTATGATGGTGATTGGGTAATTTGGTGCTGCTTTGTTCATTGTTACTATGGTAACCATCACTCTCTAACAAGCCCTCATGGGATCTTCTCAAAACTGTCGATAAAATAGGGTTGTCATCGCAGCTAGGATAAGGCTGTCCGTAAAATATCAAACTGTACAGACTGTAGTAACTTCTCTAAACTACCTAGATATGACGTCATAATAGAATATGACGTCAAGTCACTGCATACTTGAGCTAACATGACGGGGAAAGTGTCATAATTTGTACATCGCATGTAGATTTATTTTGGGGTCTTGTTGTTTATTTCAAGTTTTAGGATTGTTTTTAAGCTCAAATGTGCTGTTATGAAGTTGAGCATTTGAAATTTAAATACGCCTATTCCTTTCGCTTGTCCGATATGCACATATTCAAACAATAGAGAAAAAATATGCGTGAAACGCTCCCCTTACACGACAGTAGACAAAGTTAGAATTTAACAATTGTGTTTATATTGGACTGGCACAAGTGATAAACAAGCATAGATTGAAGATATTCTGTGTGAATCTACAAGAGAAGAATGTCCTTTAACTGAATTTTGCTGGGGGATTGCGTGTAGTTCTTCCATTTTTGTATAAATCGCGATAAAGTGTGGAAAATACCCCCTCTTATGTTGGTAAGTTGATTTTCTCGTAAAATATTTTCCTAACGAGTAAAAATTAAACTTGCCCCCAGCACTTGCTATGTACCAGAGGTCGCGATGAATTGATCTATGTAACAAACTTTGCACAATATTTTTGTTTTGCACTTGTGCCGAAGCGATTTTTTTGCAACATTTAGGAATATTATATAACAGAATTATTTTCGTAGTTTTCATTGGCTGAAAGGACGTCACGTGACATTCCTCCTTTTGCAATACTGAATAGCGACGTGAAAGCGCGTCCGCGGAAAATAATATCGCACGACACGCCGTTCGGTTGCATTGAAGTTACGAAGAACGTGACGTCATAATAAAAGAAACATGAATTTAACCTTTGTGACGTAATGACAGCCAAGTCCGTTGTGTTAGGACTGTGTCGGTGCATTCACTTTGAGTGATTATATAATATAACTATTATGGACTTCAGTGAACGGTCAATATGTGGTTATAAAGACTCATGGCAATTGATATTGACATCAGACACAGAAAATGATAGCGACCTCGCAGGCTCGGTCGCTATCACTTTCTGTGTCTTCGGTCAATATCAATTGCCATGAGTCCTTATTACCACATATCGACCTACACTGAAGTCCATAATTGTATAATATCATGAATTTCTGTCACGTGATCAACACAGTCAAGTGACATCACAAAAATGCTTTATTTTAATACCTGATAAAGCTATTATATCAAGTTGACTACAATTTCAAACAAGGATTGCATATTGACATTAAAAACTAGCTCAAGATAAAATGTATATTTTTAAGGCATTTTAAGCCTTCGGACAGCCTTATCATAACTGCGATGTAAAAATACATTTCTTAAACTAAGGCTAAGCAGTTTTTAAACTATCACTTCAATATACTGTTCTAAGATCATAAGACATTTGTATTATCATAAAAGTCATCTATGCATTAAACTGGGGGATCAAGAGTCCATGCAATTTATGCAGGACTTGTAATTTTTCTGAGTATATTTTCATAATAAAGTACAAGTAATGACTCACTGATAACATATATATTTCATGATACATACTTCCCTCTTGAGATTATCTCAGCAGCTCTTGAGATGCACTAAGGCTCATCTGGGATAGTCTCAGTGAAGACATCGAATCGCACGGAGCTATGATTGGGAGCCCTCCCCCCCCCCCCTCCCCAGGGGGATGGAGGTGAGAAGGGGAACTTTCTCCTGTTCCATCCTTCCCTGGGAAACACTATGGCAAAGGGCTCTTCATCTTCCTCCGCAATAGTTCTCTGTAAAGTGAAGACAGAATTAGGTCAAATGGTCGGTTTCCAGCATCAAGACAGAATTAGGTCAAACGGTCAGTGTCCAGCATCAAGACAGAATTATGTCAAATGGTCAGTGTCCAGCATCAAGACAGAATTAGGTGAAAAGGTCAGTTTCCAGCATCAAGACAGAATAAGGTCAAATTGTTAGTTTACAAGATAAAGACATGATTAGGTCAAGCTGTCAGTTTCCAGCATCAAAATAGAATTAGGTCAAATGGTCAGTTTCGTGCACATAAACAGGGTTACGTCAAGCTATCAATTTCCAGCATCAAGACAGAATTAGGTCAAATGGTCAGTTTCCAGCATCAAGGCAGAAAAAGGTCAAATGGTCAGTTTCCAGCTTTTTATAAGAAAAGCATATGGTTTAATTTTAGAATTATACATAGGATTCTTGGTACAAATAAGTACTTATTTTTGTCTTAAATTAGAAAAAAATGAGCTAAGTTCCCTATGTCAGCAAGATGTTGAATCAATTACATATATTTATTTATATACATTTTATTGTCCCCAAAGTAAACCCAATTTGGTCTCTTTTAGAAGAATGTATATTTGAAAAAAACTGAAAAAATGATAAAATTTGATGCATGTACAGTTATACTTGGTTCTTCAACAGAAGACAAAGCTATCAATCTTATATTGCTACTTATTAAACAATACATATTTCAACAATTATGAAAAAACCAAAATTTTAGTATAACCATCCAAAGTTTCATTAAATACTTATATGTGTATTATAAATTTGAAAAAAAACCGTATAAGGTTAAAAATTAGCTTCATGTGTATAATAGAAGATTGAATGACTGGAACCACATATTTGAAAACATAAACATCTAGATATAATGTCATCTATTTTATCATATTTGTGTAATGTGTGTATTCATATTTTTTGTTTATTCATGATACTAGAAAAATGTACATTTTGAATTCTCTCCCAACTTTGGTGTGTCTGTGTATGTGTATGTATGTTTGTGTTCAAAGGCAATAAAAAAACAAGAGGCCCATGGGCCTTATAGGTCACCTGAGCATCATGCACCAACTTTCAAAGGAAAGAATTAATGCATTTTCACTGTATAATCAATAGAGCCTCGCCCTAACACCAGAACCCCTAGCCCTGGGGCCATAAAATTCACAATTTTGATAGAAACACTCTTGCTTATCATGACTATGTACTTAATTAGTTTATTTAATACTCAGGAGCAGAAAAGAAGATTTTCAAAGAAATAATCCATTTTCACTGTATAATCAATAGAGTCACACCCTTAAACAAGAACCCCTGATCCTGGGGCCATAAAATTGAGAATTTTGGTAGAGACACTATTGCTCATTATAACAATGAACTTGATTAGTTTATTTAATACCCAGGAGCAGAGAAAAGATTTTCAAAGAAATAATGCATATACTATATAATCAATAGAGCCCCGCCCTAACAACAGAAACCCTGGCCCTGGGGCCATAAAATTAACAATTTTGGTAGAGGACTCAATGCCGATTACAATCATACAGTTTGACTGTTTGATGTCCAGGAGTAAAGAAGAAGATTTTTAAGGATTGCACTAATTAAAGTGGTTTTTGTCCCATCCCCAATGCCCCAGGGGGGCAGGGACCATTAAATTCAAAATTTTTGTTCCCCTTCACCTACAGATGCTTTATGCTAAAATTGGTTGAAACTGGTTCAGCAGTTTCAGAGAAGAAGTTGAAAATGTTTAAATGTTAACGCAGGACGGACCACGACGGACGAAAACAGATAGCAATAGGTCTCTTAATTTACTCAGGTGACCTAAAAAATAAGCATAATGTCTTGTTTCTCCAATTTCTTTTCTCAATTTAAATACTTTAAAAATAATTTTGTCAACAACGTTTATTTTTAAATATTTGTTGGACAAATTTTATAACAATGAAAGCCTATTATATATAGTAATAAAGCCTCACGTATCTTCCTTGGACCGGAAGTGAAGGCTGTGATTGCGTGAGTCTCCGCCCTCATCCGACGTCACCAGAAAACTCATCATCTTCATCAATTAAATCATCAAACGCATCCTTTACCAAGGCTTTCAGCTGTAAATAAATAATCTCATCATCAATTAAATCATCAAACGCATCCTTCAGCAAACTTTCAGCTGTAAATGTATTAACATTAGATAGAAAATCATCAAACGCTTTAAAAAGAGGAATTTATCAATAACAAACTATTCAATATTGTGTGTAATTTTGACACCATTCACTACCTGTAACAAGAGTGCATACAAATCTCTTATATCATCATACACAGCAGGGTGAACTTTGACCCAAAAATAACCTTTACATGGACTCAAATTTGACCTCTTATTTCGGTCATTTTACATAGTACTTAAAGTAAATGGGTTAAGGTAAAAGTTTCCTTTTCCAGTACCAAACTGAATATCATGGACTTCCATAAGAACTATCAAGCAACAGTACTTAGTGAATACATTCCAGACATAAGTAGAGTTCAAGTAAAAATTATATCCTGAATTATTCTGTCTGGTTGAAAGAAAAGTAATATATTCCATTTTATTTTTACGTAAAATGCGGAGAGAGGGTTAATATTCTGTAGAGTTCAGAACAGACTTTAAGTTTTCCATTTCAGAATTGCTCTATGACTGCCTAACTGTTTCTATCACATCAACAATCAAGCAATCAGTAAGCCCTTGTTTTTGAATAGGATGGATTCTGATTTCAGCAATCATCAACTTTTCTCATTAGATTGCAACTTTCACTGACTGGAGCATCATTTCAATCTCTTAGAAACTCTTGAATAGGATTAGGAACTAGCATTTTGATTGAAACAATATTTGTTCAGTATAAACTAAATAGATTGGGCAACAGGCTAAAAACCTATAAGTACCCTCTCTTTACAACAGGTCAAGGTTACAATACAGTGAACAGAGTGTATATTTGCAATTTATATCTGAATATGAGTGCTCACATTCACATTTACACACACCCTCGCACACACATAACCACACTCTGACTCGCACAGATCCAGATCAAAATAAGTATAACAAAGCCTAACCTTTTATAAGC